CTTTCCCCATATGTACCCCAAAGAGCACTACGGTCTGGGTCTCAAAATCGGCTGACCCTCCCTGGCCCAAGGGAGGCCAAGCTAGCTATTACCAGGGCCAGAGCCTTTTCAGTGGTGCCCTCTACCTGGTGGAACGAGCTCCTGGAGGAGATCAGGGCCCTGTGGGACCTTTTGCAGTTCCACAGGGCCTGCAAGATGGAGCTCTTCCACCAGGCATTTAATTAGGGGCCGCCGCTACTGCAGGCCGATATTGCAGGCCATTACTGCAGAGCTCTGGTCTGTGGTTTTAACATCCAACTGATTATGAACAGAAACATCGTGGAACATCTGGGCAGTGGAAATTTACTCTGACAATATACAATCTAGGTTATTTTTTAACTGCCGCCAGCACTTTGTATTTATATTGTTTCTATTTGTGTGGTTAAATATTTGTGTAATTTTAATGTATTTATGTTTTTATGGAAGCCGCCCTGAGCCCGCTTTGTGGGGAGGACGGGGTATAAATTTGATAATAAATAAATAAATAAATAAATAAAAATAAACGGCAACACTTAGAACTAAGCAAATATTTGTATGCTTAATGAGACAGAAACAGTCAGTAAAAGTTATTATTAACAATACATGATTAATTAATAAGACATTACCCCCAAATAAAATACACTTTAAGTGAGGCCATCCATTTATCCCTGACCTGGATAGCCCAGGCTAGATCTCAGAAGCGAAGCAGGCTCAGCCCTGGCGAGTATTTGGCTGGGAGACCTCCAAGGCATTACCAGGGTCCTAACACAGAGGCAGGCAGTGGCAAACCACCTCTGAATGTCTCTTGCTTTGACAACCTTATGGGGTAACCATAAGTCAGCTATGACATGATGGTATGACTTGATGGCAAAAAAATAAAAATAAAATCCAGACATTATAAGTATATCTAAAAATATTTTAATTGGAAATTGTTGATTGTTTAAATATTTTAAACGTTTTAAATGTTTTGACTGTATATGGACCTTGGCATACTGTGCCAGGCAATGTGAGCCGCCTTGAGCCCGCTTGTGGGGAGGGTGGGTTATAAATACAATAAATAAATAAATAATGTATAAGTGTGACAAGCACATCTCTGCAACCACAGCTTTTATCAGAGAGCCAGGATTGACTGCAGCTCCCTGCCAAATGTCTTCTAGATAGCAAATCTGGATTTGTTTCCCCCGAAAAGTCTTTTAGTTCTGATAGACTCAAATGTTGCTTCCGATTTTGAAACTCTGGTTTTCTTTGAATGCAGCCCAACTCATTTGACAGAGAGGAAAAGCTATTTGAGGTAAACTATTCACAAATAAATCATCTTTTAGTAGTGCTGGACCCAAATGTTCTGTTCCCTAGCAGTCATAACGAATCCTGGCATTTGCAAATTCACAAAGGGAGTAAAATAAACACGGACATTGCTAACAGTTAATGTTTCTTATCCACAGAGACCAGACTTTCCCCTAAATTATTTCCAAGCTATGCAATCAGCTGCCCTGCTTACTGCTTCCTGTGCTAAGAAAAGCAAGGCAATGTTAATGACTTTTTGAAGAACAGCATTGTTGATACAATCCATGCCACTGTTTTAATCGTCTGTTTCCCAATTAACAATATTTATCCCTGAGATATGCTACATACACTGGGCAGAGATTAGCCTCAGGGTGTCATTCATATCTTCTCTGTTTTGTTTCAATTTGATGCATTGTTCACAGTTAAAGGTGTGCGGAGCTAAAAAACCCCAAATACATTGAAATCTGGTATTCCAGGATAGTGTTATTTATGCTGAGAAATTACTGGGTGCTTCAACAAGGAAAATTTAAGATTGTTGTGGGAACCTTTTTTAGAACCAGAACTTTGGACTAAATGATTCATTACTGACATTTTGCTGTAGAAAGAAGGTTCACAAGCCTCTACTGAAGTCTGCTTCATGTGTTACTTGGGTGGTGCGAGGTTGTCTTCTGTGTGACTGGATCTCATGTTGTTCTGGTGGCCTGTGTAGGAAAAAATCCAACTAGATGACCTGGCTGCCTTTTAGGGATGCCAGCCTCCAGGTGGGAGCTGGGGATCTTTCAAAAGTATAGCTCATCTTCAGACTACAGAGATCAGTTCCCCTGAAGAAAATAGATGCTTTGGAGGGTGGAATCTGTGGCATTGTATCCCACTGAGGTCCCTGTCCTACCCAGGCTCCATCCCCAAATCTCCCCTTGCCACTGGCCAGGGGGGACCTGGCAACCCTACGAAGTACCTCTTACACCTGTGATGCCCCTCCGTGTGGGTTGAGCAGCCTTGGAGAGGACAGGAAACCTATAATTCAGGCTGGAATGGGCCTTTTTCTAGAAATGTTACCAGAGTGGCATGGGATCTAGCCAAATGGAGTAGTTCACCCCATTAATAACATGGGAATGTTGCTCAGGTCTATAGGAAAGAATGCCTATAGGGAGCAAGATATATAAAGGCTGTTAAAAACCAAAAAAAATAAAGGCTGAGATATAGTGTTTCAGAGGTCTACAAAACCGGGCCTGTTGTGGAGAAAGTGGTTAGGAAAAACTTTCCTGTCTCTCCCCATAGTAATAGGATTCAGGAATACTTTACAAAGTTGGTTGGCAGTAGATGCAAAGCAGACAGTAGAAAGTGCTGCTTTATACATGATAGTTGAATTATGGAAATCATACTATGAGGTGTTGTGGCCACAGGCTTAGATGGGTTCAAAATCAGGGATCACATTTATGGAGGGCTCTTTTTGTGGAAAAAGCCCAGCAGGAACTCATTAGCATAATAGGCCACACCCTGACATCACATCTCATTAGCACATTAGGCCACACCCCCATGTTACCAGAAGTGTGGTCATCCAGCCACACCCACCTTTTGCTTCTTATTCTGTTTACCTTGTTTGTTGTCAACACCCAGGGCTTTTTTTGTAGCAGGGACTCCTTTGCATGTTAGGCCACCCATCCCTTATGTAGCCAATCCTAATGAGTTTCTGTTGGGTGTGGCCTATTATGCTAATGAGTCCCTGCTGGGCGTGGCCAACTCAGGAGCCAGCCGGAACTCCGTTCCTGTGCGTTCCTGCCCAAAAATAGCCCTGCATTTATGGAGGATAGGTCTGTTGTTGGCTATTAGCCATGATAACTGAACAAGACTGCTGGGTTCAGAGGCAGAAAGCTTCTGATTGTCAAATGCTGGGGAGCAATCAGGGCTGTTGCCAGTGGGCCCTGCTTGAGGGCTTTCCAGTGGCATCTGGCTGGCCACTGCTGGAAATGGGATGCTGGACTAGATGGACCATTGGTCCAATACAGCATATTGTCTCTTATGTAGAGATAGAGAACAATTACACTGAAAGACTAGTGACACAAATGTGAGTTCAAGTTAAAAGCCAGTATGGCCTAGGGTTTACATCTCAGTTCATCCATCATGTCCTTAAACAGGTTGTCAGATATCTGTTTCTGTTCTCCATCCATGCAGTGAAACCCACCTCATTGGGCTAAGTTTGGGAATGAGATACCAGCATGAAAGTGATGCTTCCTGTTCTTTGACACAATGGTTTGTGCCTGTTGTGCTGACCTGTCAAAATGACCTGTCCCACCTGGCATTATAAGATGGTCTTCACCTGTGACATACCCTAATTAAACAAATGCTTAACTAGCAAAGCTAATCGATACTCAGAATATTCAGATAATCAAATGTTTGGACAAAGATGAGTACAGGTGAGTACAGATTGGACTAAAATCTGCCAGTGGAGAAGAGCTGGATAAAAGGAGCTTGCCTGGCTCTTTCCGAGTCTTTGGTTCTGTAATAACACTTTGTTCTATTGCCAGCGTCAAATGGTGACTGATTTGTAGAAGGTACTGACTTCATTTGTTGCAATAAAGCAAGGTTGAAGTAAATTTGATAATATTTGTTCCTCTAGTTCCCCCAAACATTATGGGAGATGAACAGAATGTCTCTGTGCTTGTGGGAGAAGTTCTAGAACTCCATTGCCAGAGCAGCTCCATTCCCCCACCTACACTGGACTGGTTGAAGGATGGTCGGCCCTTGCTGAAGAAGCCAGGTCTCAGCATTACTGCAGGTGGAAGTGTGTTAAAGGTAAATTAAAATAACTCTATTTCCTCATGAATAACTTCCTCATGACTAACAAACTTGCTGAAGAAGCCAGGTCTCAGCATTACTGCAGGTGGAAGTGTGTTAAAGGTAAATTAAAATATCTGTATTTCCTCATGACTAACTTCCCTATGGTTAGCAGTTCAGTATTGTTCACCACCAATATCTCTTAGTTTAAACTCTGCCTTGTATCTGCGGAACACCTTATTTGAATCTTCCAATGCACATCCTATTAGCTCAAGTTTCCTACAGTGCAATCACTAGACTTGACTACAGACCTGCCATCTAGGGAAGAGTCCTTGCAGTAGAGGAAAGCACCACCACAGGTGAAATGGATCTGTGAGATCCAACACTCAGTCTCCAAGGTTTTACTATAGGTAACACTGGGAAGCACCTGTTGAAAGAACTTCTGTTTAGCTGTTGAACCATGAATAGCCCTTGATGAAGTACTTTTTATTGCTAGATTGAAGGAGCACAAGCCCAAGACACTGGACGCTACACTTGTGAAGCTACAAATGTGGCTGGGAAAACTGAAAAGAACTACAATGTCAACGTATGGGGTAAGGTTTGTAGCCTTTGCTATTGTTCCCATAAAGCAGTGAACTTCAGCATATAGATTGTGACTTTTGGGTGGCTCACAGAGCCCTACCTGCCTTCATAGAACCACCACTTTTTTCTACTAGTTTGCATGAAAAGAGAGTAAGGGAACTATGCCTCCCATCTAGGGCATGAAAAGAGAGTAAGGGAACTATGCCTTCCATCTATTAGCAGGACAGCCAGGCAAGGTCACTATGGAGAGTATTCCTCCATAGCTCTTTTCCTCTTGCTTGTTTCTTTCTATATTACACCTTTTGGTGCTCATCTTGTGTTTTCTGTCCCTGTCTCTTCTGCTAATAGCCATAATCTTGACACTAGTGAAGTCATCATTTTGGTTCCTCTTCCTCCTGCCATATAAGAATTCTGGGTCTGGAAATGCTGAAGACCACAGCCATGATGAATGAAATTTTGCGCAGACATGAATGGGTGCTTCAGCCAGATGTGAATGGGTGCTACTGCAATTCCCTGGGCACATTTTAGGGAAGAAGTTAAGAAATCCTCATGTCCACAACTGTGGTGTACTTCAGCATACCTGGCTCATTTAAATTCTTGAGAGAATACATGAAGAAGTCTTGCTGGAGACGGAGGTCCCGTTCACACGGAGCATTTGCCACACTAAAGATACGGATGATAGGCGGATTTTCCGGGCATGATCACACCACAACATCTGGGAAGCGTAGTGCACCCGTGGCTAACCCGTGGCTTCTTGCCAAAGATACGGAGTAAAAAACTAGTACATACGATGTGCTAGTTTCCAGAAAACTTGGGCAAGGGGGGGCATCTGATCGCATTTCCGCTGGAATCTCGTAGCATCCGGCGCCCACCCATGTCCCGTCGTAAACCGGATGGTTTTTTTTTTAAGTCTCCACATTTTAACTACATTGTAGGTGTGCCATATTACATGCAGTATAGGGGTAACATATAAAGAAACATCCTATTACCTTTTTATGTACTTTCCGTGAGGGGAAAAATTTCCCGTTTGCCATAAAAGCGGCGCCTAGCGATTGCCAGTGTGATCGCGCCGTGCCGCTTATTTGCCGCGCTGCAGGATAGCCGTGTGATCAGCACCTAATGGCATACCCACGGGACCTCCACGGGACATGTGATCAGGCTGCCGTGCGTTACTTTGCTCCGGGGCAAACAGCCACGCTTCCCCCCGCATGTTTTGGCCCGTGTGACTGGGACTGCAGTAGGTCTTAAGGGGTTTTTTCCCTGATTAGGGAGGTAGGTTGGTGTTACAAAGTTCACTAAAATAAATTAAAACAGCCTCTAATGACCTGAAGAGGAATCTATTGCTTACTTAAGTAGTGCTGGCATTTAGTGGTTAGAGCATATTTTCAGAGTGGGAGAATCCATTTGGTAGGGTTTTAAGGAAATTATGGGTAGGATATGCCAGAGAAGTAGTTTTAGTAAAACTGCAAGTTTTCCTCTACTGCCCTTCATAGAGTCTGAATTCATAAATGAGTAGTTGAATAGGCATGGCTTATGCAATCTTTTTATCCCTTCATTTTCTCATTGAAGCAAAAGGGGAAGGATCTTCTTGTGTTGTATATGTGTGTATTAAGTGTTGTCAAGTTGCTTCCAACTTATGACGATCCTATGAATGAATGACCTCCAGAATATCCTTTCATTAACAGCCTTGGTCCAGTCTTACAAACTGAGGGCCATGGCTTCCTTTACTGATTCAATCCATCTCATGTTGGGTCTTCCTCTTTTCCTGCTGCCTTCAACTTTTCCTAGCATTATGGTCTTTTCTAATGTCACTTACCTTCTCATAATGTGATGATAGCCTCAGTTTAGTCATTTTAACTTCTAGGGAGAGTTCAGGCTTGATCTAGAACCCATTTATTTGTCTTTTTGGCAGTCCACAGTATCTGTAAGACTCTTCCCCAACACCACATTTCAAATAAATCAACATTCTTCCTGTCAGGTTTCTTCATTGTCCAACTTTCACACCCATAGTAATGGGGAATACTATAGTATGAATTATCTTGACCTTGGTTGCCAGCAACATGTCCTTAAGGATCTTTTCTGGCTTCTTCATGGCTGCCATTCCCAGTTTCAGTCACCTTCTGATCTCTGGGTTGCAATCTGCCTTTTGGTTGATGATTGACCTCTTTCATTAGTCCATAGAGAGTTTTCTCTTCGTAGTGGCAAATTTAAAAGTGAGTGTTTGCTTCTTTCCTCTGTATCCTGCTTTGTTTTGTCCCATGAACACATAGTATAGATGGGCTGTGTTTCTGATGCAAAGAATTATCTTTATGACCTTTGAAGACAAGATTCAGCTCCACTCTTTGGGCTTCTAGATTTTCTTTAAAACATTTTTGGGTAAAACAACTATTCTTCCCAACTGTGGATTTGCCTGTGAAAACCATCTGTGGGAAAAACTTTTGAGAAATATAGTCTTTGTTTGCATACTGGGGTTGGGAACGGTGCTGGACAGCCTTTTGTGTTGTGGATCCAGACTGTTTCTCGCTTCCAAGTATCAGCCTGTTCCCCAGAGCTGTCTTCAGTTCCAGAAGCTGGTAACATTCACCGATCAGATGTGGAAGGCTCTGCTTCTTGGAGACTGTGCTGGTTGAAGTAGGACCTCTCCGTTCAGGTTTAAAGTTGGTGTAACACAGTATAAAGCCTTACTCTTGCCAGCGTTGAATTTCATGTATCTGTTTTATGTTTAAAACACCAAGAAAGTCAAAGAGGGTCAGATGGAAATGTGTTTTTCCTCCCCGATTTTGCACAGTTAAAATAGTTTGAATAAACCGTGACATTCATTTTATGTGTATCGCTTACTTGAAATGAACATCAGTCTGAGAATTTGCTTATATTTTCTTCTTTATACCTTACCTATATTCTTTGTGGCCCAGTATTAATCTATTTTGTTTTGCTATTTTTATTCCATTACCCCACATACATTTTCCTTCTCTAGTGCCACCAAGTATATACAGTTCAGATATACTCACTCAGCTAACTGTAATTGAAGGAAACCTCATCAGTATGATCTGTGAGTCCAGCGGAATTCCACCACCAGCACTCAGCTGGAGAAAGAGTGGTAAGCAAAAGTCTTTTCTGAGGACCTCCATAGGAACTCACTACTGCTTTTGTATTGGTTTCCACAGTATTGTGTTGAGGAACTGACTTAGCTCACTATTCGGCAAAAAAATCAAACCATTCCTGTATGAATCTCTTGAATAAGTATATAGGCTTTTCCGTTTTTGTTTTATGTTTCGGTTCTGGCCCTATAATGCTTCAGTTTATCCCCTGATTTTCTCACACATTTTGGTGCCTTTAGTTTTCACTAGAGAGCCAGTTTGGTGTAGTGGTTAAGTGCACGGACTCTAATCTGGGAGAACTGGATTTGATTCCCCACTCCTCCACTTGCAGCTGCTGGATGACCTTGGGTAAGCCATAGTTCTCTCTCAGCTGTTCTTGAAAAGAACAGTTCTTGAAAGAGCTCTCTCAGCCCCATCTACCTCACAGGGTGTCTGTTGTGGGGAGGGGAAGGGAAAGGAGTTTGTAAGCCGCTATGAGATTCTGAGTGAAGGGCGGGGTATAAATACAATCTCTTTTTCTTTTTCTTCTACTTTGTTTCCCGCCCTCCAGCTTTTTTCCTGCTACTTTGAGACAACTTTTATCCCAGTGTTTCTCTGGAAGCCGATTTTGAGTCCGCTTTTAACTAGGGTGTAATGTTTCTATCGGTTTTCTTTGTCCCTCTCACTCTTACCCATCTCCAACCCACTTTTCAATTATCGAACTGTCATCATCGTTAGACCACTCTCTCTCCCCCAGAAGACAGTGGTTTCATTAAAAGTCCTTAAAGTATATTGCTATAAGGCTGTAGTGTTGTGATGATAGTTTAAACAGGTTCTCTGAATTTTCAGGTTTTGTTTTTAAAAAGTAAGTCTCTATATGCCCTTCCCTGGCGGAGGTATAAGGAAAAAGGCATATCTCTGCAAGGGAAAGGGCTAAAGACTTGCTTTTTTTAAAAAGGTAAAAAAGAAGGGGGTGCAGTGATTTCACCAATAACACCACCAGTGACAACAGCACCCTCCATTGAAAATACTCATTATTTAAGCAGTATGTAGAGGAAAATAAAATGACTCCACAATTGTAAAAATGCACAGGAACAGGAGACGTGTGGAAGAACCCTGCCCAAACTGATTCAAGTGCTTGTGGATTGATTCCCAAGAAAATCAGGAGTAACTCCAGTGTGTGGGAAATGTCTTTGGTTACTTTAGGGCTTTATTAGAAAAGACACTGGGAAGACCCACAGGCTGGATTAAGTGGATCTGTTCTGCTACTAGAAGCACTTTCATCTGGTGGAAAATGCCTTCCCCACCCTACACAAGATGCTTAGAAGACTGGATCTTCCCAGTATTTTAAAAAAGCAAATAGCAGCTATGCAGGGATTCTATCTGGATGGAGGCCACAGCATAGATGAAATAATGGGTTCCTTTGTTAATGTATCTCTTGAAATATTTTACCCCCACCTTTATCCAAAGATTCCACAATGTCTTACAAAAAAGAGATTAGAAATGACATCTTCTTCAGCTATTAAAAATTCCCAGCAGACTCCATTACTCACAATCCTCTCCACTTTCTGCCAACAAAATAACCACTCTTTAGCCTCCCAAGAACGCTTTCTGAAATAAGACAGTCTTGCAATGATAGCGAGCGACAATACCCTCTGCACATCTACAGGTAGGCCTGGAAATGCTGTTGCCCAAGCTGACATAGAATGCGCTGCATGGAGAAGGAAGCAAAGAAGGCAGAGGGAGATTTAGGTGATGACAGGAATCATTTCTTCTGAAGATGTAAATGTATATATCATATCTAGTCTATAAAATGGCTGGCTGGAAAGGGAAGTAGAGAGATTTAGGAAAGGGACAGGAGAGCAGTCAGTGCATTTCCTCCTAAAGAAACAAATGTATCATATAAATAGTTCACCACCTCCAATCCTTTCATGCTGCAGTCTGGACCAGGAAGCAACAAAACTAGTTGAAATTATGAAGTAAAAGCAGGGCTCTTTTTGTAGAAAAAGCCCAGCAGGAACTCATTAGCATAATAGGCCACACCCAACAGCAGGAACTCATTAGCATATTTGGCCACACCCCTGACAGCACAGCTTATTAGCACATTAGGCCACACCCACATGCTACCAGAAGTGTGGTTATCCAGCCACACCCACCTTTTGCTTGTTATTCTGTTTACCTTGTTTGTTGTCAAAACCCAGGGCCTTTTTTTGTAGCAGAAACTCCTTTGCATGTTAGGCCACACACCCCTAATGTAGCCAATCCTAATGTGTTTCTGCTGTTGGGTGTGACCTATTATGCTAATGATTTCCTGCTGGGCGTGGCAAACTTGGGAGTCAGCTGGAACTCCGTTCCTGTGCGTTCCTGCCCCAAAATAGCCCTGAGTAAAAGGATTTGGTTTCTTAGACTCATATGTTTAAGCATACATGAACTGTAGGCAGATGGCCTGATTAAACAAGATGCTTGGAGATCTGTGGCTTTCCCTTTCTTTTATTTTTAAAATAGCAGCTGCACGGAGTCCCAATTTGGATCTGAACCATAGTTCGGGGTGGGTAGGGGGTAGTCCTGCTCTGCTCAGTCACCTGTGCAATATATTGGATATGTTTTAATTGAATACAATAAAGCTGTGTGTGTGTTGTGTCTGTCCATGTGCATGTGCTGTCAAGTCACTTCCAACTTATGGCAACCCTATCAATCAATGACCTCCAAAATGTCCTAAGGTTAACAGTGTTGCTGAGATCTTGCAAAGTGAAGGTCGTGGCTTCTTTGATCCTATCAGTATCTCATAATGACACTTGCTATCTTCAAAGAGGCCTCATTCTGTGTGCATGGGGTTGCCAACCTCCAGGTGGTGGCTGGAGATCTCCTGGGATTACGACTGATCTCCAAGGGACGGAGGTCAGCGCACCTGGAGAATATGTCCACTTTGGATGACGGACTCTATGGCATTATACCCCATTGAAGTCCCTCCCCTCTCCAAAGTTTGCCGTCCTCAGACTCCACCCCTAAAATCTCCAGGTATTTCCCAACATGGAACTGGCAACCCTATATGTGCATGATTCCTGACCACAAGGAAGCTAAAATTCAAGCATGTAGATCTCCTAAACCCACTATGAAGTGGACAAGAATATCACGATTTAGGCTGAACTTCTGGAGCATACGGTAGAGCAAGTTTCCATTCGTGGACCATTTTTTAAGAACACTGAAGGACTTGTAAGATCTTATCCCTATATTATTTATCTTGGTCTCTAAGATGCTACTGGACTCAAATCTAACTGTTAATAGAAAAATATATCTCTTGTAGGTTCTCCACTGTTGATCGACCCTACAGGAAGAATCAGGGTGTTATCTGGAGGCAGGCAGCTGCAAATTTCAATTGCTGAAAAGTCAGATGCTGCCTCCTACATCTGTATGGCTTCAAATGTAGCTGGAGTAACAAAGAAGGAATATAACTTGCAAGTATATGGTAGGTAACTGTGTAAAACTGCCTGTACAGTTTATTGGTTTGGAAACAATTATGTTATAAACCCCTAAAGAGCTAAACAGTGACCGCCTTCCATACGGGGAGGTGGAAATGCACTCCTCCACAGAGCAGCAGCAGTCATTGTGTGAGCAGGAGGGAACGGCATCCACACATCCTATCCCTGAATTGCTCACTGCTCCCCTTCCCCCTTTGCTTTCCCTTGAGCCTGTGCAAGAGTACAGACACAGTGACGATTACACTGGGCCCACCTACAGTCCAGCAACACCCCTCCTTTCCCCCTTCATGTTAAGCTACAGCTGGTAAGCTATAGCATAGTTCAGCTGGGAAAAGGAACAAAATCTTTAAAAGGACAAAAGGGGGGATGTGCAGAGCCTAGATCCACCACTTTGAAGGCTCCCCATATAGCTCTGACCACCTTCCTGTACTTGCTGCAGGTACAGCGTCCACATGGATGCTCCACCCACAACCACCTCATAGCTCCTCCTTTGAACCAAAAGGAGGGTTTCCTTTGATCCAATTTATGCTCATAATAACCGTGGATTTGGGCTTTCCTGGTTCCCATGCAGAGAAACCCCCAATGGGGAAGCAGCCAGCGTTCAGAATCAGTGAACTGGAATGGACCAAAAAACGATCAGGTTCAATCTACTGTCCTGAAACAAGACTAACAAATGGTCCGATAATTTTTGCCAATTTAGCTTATCCATAGGTATAAAATAAATTGATATTTTTATTTTTATTGCTAAAAACTTGGAAACAGAACCCTAATGTGAAAACTTGGAATCTTGTTTTGTTTTTCTTAATAGTTCGTCCAACTATACTGGACAGCGACAGCCAACAATCAGATGTAACTGTGACCCGCGGGAATGATATTTCATTAGAATGCAAGACAGATGGTACTCCACGGCCAGCTGTCACTTGGATGAAGGATGGACGGCCATTAGTCAGTGGGAGGGAAATTGAGATACTGGACGAAGGACGGCGTCTTCTAATTAAAAATGCTCAGGTGTCAGACACTGGCCGCTATGTGTGCATTGCCGTGAATGTGGCAGGACTAACCGACAGGAAATATGACTTGAGTGTTCATGGTGAGCAAGGGAAATAGGCACAACAGAAGAGATGTATAGAGCTGCCATTGTGGGGGGGTGGGCAAAATGAAGCATTCTGTTATCTCTGCTAGACTGTTGGATCCATGCTCTGCTTTGATTATCTGGGAGTTTCCCAGTCTGAAAATTTTTCTAAACTACTCTTCATGCTGACTTCCTTGAAAACTACCAACAGGACAGAATACGTGTCTTCCTTAGCTGTAAGAGGTGCTGCTCCAAATGTATCAGGAAAGCAGGGCAAGAGACAAAACGTAAACAACTAGAACTTCCATTCTGTATGCTTCCAGGTCTCATCCAAAGAGAAATATGTACATGTTACCATAGGGAGGTGCACATTTAGTTTCTACATGAGATGAGCACCTGTCTGTCTCCATTTGGGCAAATGCTGGTAGTGTGAGAAAAGAAATGCACACATGCACTCATGGAGCATCCAGAATGGCTCTGAGCAGCAGAATATGAACATATGAAACTACATTTACCCTTGGTCTATCAAGGCCGGAGCTGCGGTGGCTCAACTGGTTAAGACGCTGTGGAAGGTCAGTAGTTCAGCAGTTCGAGACCCGAGTGTGCCGCATGACAGAGTGAGCTCCCGTCTCTAGTTCCAGCTCCTGCCAACCTAGCAGTTCGAAAGCAAGAAATTGCAAGTAGATAAATAGGTACCACTTCGGTGGGAAGGTAACAGCGTTCCGTGCTCCTTGGTGTTTAGTCATGCCGGCCACATGACCACGGAAACGTCTTCGGACAGCACTGGCTCTTCGGCTTTGAAATGGAGATGAGCACCGCAACCCTAGAGTCGGATTCGACCGGCTTTCAAGCAAGGGAACCTTTACCTTTACCTATCAAGGTCAGCATGTCTACTCTGACTGGCAACAGGTCTCTGTGGTCTGAGGCAGAGGTCTTTCCAATCACCTGATGCGTGATTCTTTTAACTGGAGGTGCCAAGGATTGAACCTGGGACATTTTGCATACCAAGGAGACACTCCACCACTGACCCACTGCCTTTCCTGTCTAGCCTGATGGGCAAAGTTAGGAATAGTGGATCTGATAATTTCTGAACCTACACCTGTGTTTCACTAATGTCTATTGCAGTTAACATGTAAAATGTGAAAGGCAGGTGTATATTCCGGAATATTCAGTGGGTGCTGTTGGAGGGGATGGCGCCATCACCAGTCAGGGTTTTCACTCCATAGAATGTGAATGGGAACTACCCTGTTTCCCTGAAAATAAGACCTACCCCCAAAATAAGCCCTAGCAGGATTTCTATGCATTTGTGCTATAAGCCCTAGTGTGTCTTCTTGAGAAAAAATAAATATAAGACAGTGTCTTATTTTCGGGGAAACACGGTAAATGGGAACCAAGCAGTCTGCTTTCATGTGTGTTTGGTGTGCGAAGCCTTGGTTATTATAGGAAAGGAATATACGAGAGTTAAAGAACAATACAAAACTGACCATGAGATCCTTACTCATGGTTTCCACAAGAAGAGCCTACTGTCTCACGTGGCTGTGCGCTTCCTTCCATCCTGCTATATTAAACAGATACACGTTGACATGAAAAAGAAAATATCTTAATCTGTTCATTGACTTGATGTCTCTGACCTAGTCCCAAGCTCTCCTTGCAAAAAGTGTGAAGTTGTAAATACATTCCTAAAATGGAATTGTTACTATTCTTAGTCAAGAGGAAGGTATATCATGTGATCTCTTACAGCTTTATGGTAGCTGTTTCAGTTCCTAGGAAGGAAATTGGATCGATATTACCTTTAAAAAAAAAAACACATAGCAGCAAACCAGAAGGTAATTCAGCAACATTTTGAAGAGTTCACGTTAACTTTTTACTCCCTGTGGCAGCCATTTGTAATGAATGAAACAAAGAAATGCCTGGTTTACATTCCCTCCCTATGTCAAGCTCATGCAAATGAGTGAGACATTGGTCTCTGTATGATTTTCATGGCAAGGCAAATAGTGGGAAGGGGGCAGAGAGGGAGCAATTTGCTCCGAAAAACAGCAAGGGGGAAGGGTTAAACCTCCTTCTCTGCCTGTACTGTGCTCCTGGAAGTGTTGGAAGATCCAAGGAAAGGGATCTTAGAGAAAATGGCTCTGATCTTGCACACAGGTTATTTAAATGTCTCTGGAGTCAACCGAACTTAAGCAACAGGGCTGGGTGCAACCAATTTTCCCACTCAATGCCCCCCAAATCTCCACCTTACTTCAGTTCCTATTATACATGGCCTTTATCCCTGCAGATCCCATGATCCCCCCACATAACCTTTTTGGGTGATCAGAGAGCACCTGTCTTCCTTTTCTCAAAATATGCATGATTGCTAACTAAATTTAACAAAAATAAAAACTGTGGAAATGTGGAAAACCCTGATTCAGTACTGCCCATTACAAATCCAATGTTCCCTCTAAGCTCCACAGTGTTGTGAGCAAAAATTCTACCTTGTGAGCAAAAAAAGCTAGTAGCATTAAAGTTGTGAGCAGGTCTACATATTTATTTTATTTATTTATTTTGAACATTTTTACCCCGCCCTCCCCGCGAGCGGGCTCAGGGCAGCTTACAAGGGGCGCAAGCCCATATATAAAACCCAATAAAACAATAAAATCACATTTATAACAATAATAACAGTAAAACACAATGACAATAGTAAAGTGCTTTCAATCAAGATGGTCTTGAATGGTTATCTTCAGATCCGCCCCATTGGGGTCTCATTTGACTATCACAAAAATTAGTTTTTAGATGATTTCCATAACCTTGTAAAAATCTTAGAATGAATTCTTTTAAATTATATTTTAAGAATAGTTTAAGCATTATAAGAGAAAAGAGAATCAAGTAAAAATTCATTAGAGAAAGTGTCCTCTATGGGGGCAGACCAGGCCTCCAGAGAACAGGCGTGCCTTCCCCTTTCCACTATATTGGTAGACCTGGCCTCCAGAGAACAGGACTGCCCATATCTTTCCACTGAATTGGTAGACCTGGCTGCGGACTGTCGCCCTGCGCTGAGCGTTAGAAAACATACCAGCACTTGGGGGGGGGGGGGGGAATCTTGGGTGGGTTTTTTTAGTGAAATATGACAAATTACAGATCAAATATAACAGATGTGGAACAATCACTGTCAGAACCCTGCCTAACCTAACAAACAGGAAGTTTCTTAAATGTTATCAACCTGTCCAAATGACTTATTTATTCAAATATTTATATCCCACTTTATCCTGTGAGTCAAGGCAGCATACAAATCATATGAAAAGCATCACAGGTGTGCAAAAAACCCCACAAACCTATTTTCCCCAGCTCCATTATAGCCTATGGGGACCATTATAGTCAATGGACTCCATAGGCTATAATGGAGAATCGATCTGGGGGTATCTGGGGCTCTGGGGGGCTGTTGTTAGAGGTAAAGACACCAAATTTGCAGCATAGTTGCGGGTGTCTCTCCTCAAGAAAAAAACCCCAAGTTTCAAAAAGATTGGACCAGGGGGTCCAATTCTATGGGCCCCAGAATGTCTTAGTCATGTGAACAGACGTTTACAATAGCTGAGCTGGCAGCTAAAATTTTGTGCCCCAGAGACCCCTAGCACAGCTTAGAGGGAACTCTGATTACAATAGTGCCCTGACCTGGATAGCCCAGGTTAGCATGATCTCGTCAGATCTCAGAAGCTAAGCAGGGTCAGACCTGGTCAGTACTTGAATGGAAGACCATCAAAGAAGTCTGTGGTCATGACACAAAGGCAGGCAATGGCAAACTGCCTCGGAACATATCTTGCCTGGAAAATCCCATGAGTTTGTCATAGATCAGCTGGGACTTAACAGCAAATGGTGGTGTACCGGAAATACTTCTGCTGGATTGTGGCTCAAAAACAACAACAAAATGGGGCATGTAGCTCCTTAAGAGGAGGTGCCAGTGTCAATGGTTATAACTTAGTTACCACCAGTCATGGATGGCTTTGAGGTTCACAGCAGGGTTTGGATGCAGAGTCAACTACTAGAGTGTTGCATGTTTCCTTGAGTAAACCATTCATTTCTGCCTGGTATGCTTGCTAGGTGAGGCCAGCCCTGCATTTTTCATTTGCGTTTATTTAGTTATATCCCACTTTTCTTCTCATTTGGGACTCAAAGTGACTTAGAACATCATTCTCCCTCCATTTGTTTAGAACAACAACCCTGTAAATTAGGCTGGGCTGAGTGTTTGTGATGGGCCCAAGGTCACACAGCGAGTTTTTGGGGTAGAGGTGGGAATTCAAACGTGTTGCCCAGACTAGGGTCTGCAACATTATATCCTTCCCCACAGTGGCTCTTGGGATTCCACACTGGCTCACAGACACACGCAAAGAGGATTGGGAGTGTACACTGCAAAGCAGTGTAACATGTATGCCATATTTGTAGCAATAGATGCTATAAAGTCTGAAGGAGAGCTACACTTAAGGACGTTTGGCAAGTGTGAATCTCTCCGCATTGTTTAGAGACAAATGCAAGGGATCACCAGTTTACAAGTTGTGATTTTGTTCTTAAACATCTGCTGATAAGGTGACTGCCATCAAAGAACCTTTTGAGTGAAGTGGTAGAAAGAAGGTGTGTGTGTGTGTATGTGTGTGTACAACAAGGTAAAATGCTTACCCAACACCTTTTAGCAGACAATTTGCTGCTGTATGCTTGTGCAGATTAGCTCCTAAAATGGTCATCTATAGAGTTTTAAAACATTTTTAAATGGTCATCAAATTGGAGAGGTAAGCCTGGGTGTCTGGTGGGATGACATAGAGGGCCATGCAGGAAGAGCCCACAACACTTATGTGACCTCCAACTTCTTAGCTCTTGCTTTTGTAATTCAATGTTCTTGCTGGAGGGGACCAATATTGCACTTTCCCAGCAGCTCAAACTGACTTTTTTATTTGAATTTGGGGGAATGTTGTTTCCCGTATGCAATGCTACCAACAGGCTCGTATCAGCTGGATTACACCTATGTGAATTACAAGTGTTCTCTTTGGTTATTTGCCTCTGTAATAGTGACTGGTGCAACAGTGGAAGTTCTCACATTGTTGCCTCTCCTGTAATCACTTTTCTCCCATAATGCTGTTGTGTCAATGGATATTTCTGTCCCAACTATTCCTTTTTCAAGCTGTAAGGGCTGGTCTCACAGTTCCCTGTTTTTTATTGTGAAGACGAGGAAACTATTGTGGGCTTGCTCAGTTTTGGAGGTGGGGATTTATTGGCCTGCCTGTAAATTTTCTAAGAATGAGTAACTAAATCTGGCCTGCAGTATTTTAACTGAAGCAAAGAACAATCCCATGTGTTCTCTACTGCCGTGTGAATTCCTTCATTCAAAAGAACAGATAAAAACACTTAATATAATATATATAAAATATAGTCTAATAATGTTTCTTTTTGTGTGGCTTGCTTTTATTTGTTTGGATTTTCTATAGTCCCTCCAAATATTGTGGGTGACCTGACTGTACCTGAAAATGTCAGCGTAGTAGAGAAAAATCCCATCACCTTGGTTTGTGAAACTTCAGGAATCCCCCATCCATCAATAACCTGGCTCAAGTACGGGCAGCCTGTCTCTCTGAGTCCTTCTGTGAGGATCTTGTCAGGTAAGGGGGAACAAGAAAATTACATGACAAACCTATTTCGCAATAGACCTTGAATAAAATCGAGTACAAGAATGTGGAAAGGCTCCAGTAAAACCAGTCAGTTGATCAGAAAATGATGTGCAGCATCCAGAGGGAATTATCCTGGAAGAGTACATGGGAACTTGGGTAGGCGGGATACAAACCGAAATCATAAATAAATAAATAAAAACTTGCCAAATAGTCATAATCTGATTAGGCCAGACTGAGGCTGCGGTCATACACACTGAATGATCCACTTTCAATCCACTTTCAGACTCTTTCCAACTGGATTTTACTAGTTTGCACAGTAAAATCCGCTTGGAAAGTGCACTGGAAGCGGATTGAAAGTAGATTATTTAGTGTGTGTGACCACAGCCTAAATGTGGACCAGTTTACACAGTCAGTAGAATAATAACTGGGATAATAATGGAAATTGAGGATAAAGTGCTGGTTCTTACCTTTAAAGCTCTTCATGGTTCAGGATCACGCTACCCAAAGGGCCAACCTATCTGTCAGTGGCAAAGGGAATCCTTAGGTGACTCCTCCTACATGTTCTGCAGGCAGGTTTATGTGTATTACTCAAGCCAAGAATGAGAGAGACATGCCAGTTCCTGTCCTGTCTGCCCTGCACCTAGGTTCCTCTCTCTTCTTTCCAGATGCTTTAGAGCACTGGTTCCCAAAGTGGGCAATACCGCCCCCTCAGGGTGCTGACATGATCCATGTGGGCAGTCGGTATCTTGGGTGCAATTAGGGGGTGTTGAATACAAAAGGGGGGGGTGGAAGCATAAAGAAAGAAGGGTCTAGATAGAACCTATCTAAAGCAGCCTTTTGGCAGTAGGCCAAATAAGTTTGGGAACCTATGCTCTAGAGCCGCGGCCTCCTCTCGCCCGCCTCGCCCCCCCACGGCAGTCCCCGGCCGGCGAGAGAAGGCCGCGGCCTCATCTCGCCCGCCTCGGCCCCCCCACGGCAGTCCCCGGCCGGCGAGAGAAGGCCGCGGCCTCATCTCGCCCACCTCGCCACCCCACGGCAGTCCCCGGCCGGCGAGAGAGGGCCGCGGCCTCCTCTCGCCCGCCCCGCCC